AAAAAAATTTTATGAAGCTAAAACTGCAGTAGAATATTTTTAAAACGAATAAAAACGGTATGCTGGTATTACCGTGGTTGTGTACCTATTACCGTGTACGTATTACCGCGGATGTATAGGGTTATGTTTACGTACGCTCACCGCGGAAATACGTACACAATCAGTGAATGAGCGCGATGTACCGAATACCGTAGAAAATAATTATTTACTCAAAATATACACAAATATTTCTGTTTGAATTGCATCTACATTAACGTCATTTTAGATTATTAAAATTGAAAAATTATTTTATATGAAACATTTCTTATTTTGAGCAAGTAATCATCAGTTTTTCCAAATCCACGGTAATAGGGCAGAGCACGGAGATAGGTACACTTACCCCTATCTCGTCTCGGGTCGTTTCCCGGATAACCAACCGCTCATCGTTAGACGGGAACATGTGGGTAAGCGCGTTGGGGACCCGACGACCAAGAAGGTAGCCGTTGTGGCTGCCCGTGCCCCTCAGAGCTGTTTTCCCTTGCTTACATTTGTAGCCACAAATTCTCTAACTGCACCAGGTGGGATGGTGGGACTGCCACACAACTCTGAAGAGTTGGTACAGATTGTGCTCTGGTTGGATATGTCTCCTGGTATTGTGGCAGAGACGGCATCGGTTGGAATTAATTTTTTTTTTTCATCGCACTCGTCGAGATTCAGGGTGAATGAACACTTAGGTCCCTTCTCCCTTAGAGAAGAGCGTAGTCCGTAACCGGGATACCCAGCTGCAAGACTATCATCAGAATTCTCTATACAGCTCGTTGAATTGCCGAAGCTCGACTACATTACTATCGAGACGCTCCGGCTTATTATAACCACACTTATTTAATTATGTTGCAGGTAGCTTCGATTTTATGTCAACAACACCTAGCGGATTTTACTGAACTAAAGTGACAAGCTGGCGTATTTTCGCAAATTTTTGAGCTTATTTATTGCTATTGTTATTAAATTTTTTAAGATAAAAACTATACTCAAACCATCTAGAAAGTATCATGAATCAGTGTGCAAAATTTCAGCAAAATCGGTTCAGTAGTTTTCGCGGTTAGCGATTACAACGGTTTTAGCGAATTTGCTTTATATATCAGTAAGATTCCATTACGTAACAATTTTTTGTGAGCTATCCTGTGGAGTCGACTTCTTGATTCAAACAAAAGCTTTGAGGAACGAAATCATTTGCCCGCTTCTATATTTATGTGCTCTTCAAAATCATTTTGACACATGTAATATCCACAGCAAAATTATTATTCACATTTGAAGCAAAAACGTAAATTAAAGTACTCGGGGCGATAAAAGCGCACATATAGTTGTTTGGAAGCAGTTACTGAGTAGCACAAGTAGAAAGTGAAAATTAGGAGCGCTGTATAAAGTCCGAGCATATACATGTAATGTAACGTGCATACATAGGTATATACTTCATGCCAACCAAGCGACTCGCGGAGAAAGAGGCGACCGATTAGAAAAGGTGGATTAGCGCTCTGTGCATGCATATACGTGTACTTTGTGGGCAAGAATGCATGTGGCACAAATACGCGCGAGCACATAAACATGGGGCCCCCTTCTCCCTCTTTATCCGCGATCTCTTGCATGTATATGGAGGCGAGAGGGAGACGATGGCGCAACCCGTGCATGAGACGGTGTAATCGACTATCCGATGACTGCGTCTCGCTGAAAACCATCGCATACCTGAGTTCGA